CATGAGGACGAGTGTGTCAACGTAGGAGCTCTGGAGTAGAAGCGGTTGTCTGTCTGTGGATTACCTTGTTTTGTTGACATCTTCTGAAGCTGATCTGTATCCTTCTTTGGAGAGGTTCGCAGCCGATTGCGAGGTGGCCAGCACGTAGGTTAACTTATCTAAATCGAAGACCTGGTGCATTCTCATTCTCTTGCCCGCTGCGTCCTGCAGATAAACAGAGACACTCAAGGGAGAGAAGGTATCTATCTTCTGAACAGGCAGAAGGTACAGGTCATGTCTACCGGCAGTAGAAGGTAAAAGGAATAGATCGAGTCGCGAAATGGAATGACCACAGGCCTTTCCGTGTACTAACCGAACTGTTCTGACTAAAGCAGAGCTGAACCTGAAGACTGAGCTGCCTGTTTTCAATTCGCCCGATGCTCACTTATGGCATTGAGTCGTGGGTGATGCCTGATAAACTTCGATTCTAGATATAAGCGGCAAAAATGGGCTTTCTGAGACGAGTCTTTGGCCTTATGCCTCTCGACATGGGCCGATTAGAGATATCGGTGATAGTCTTGGTATTCAACCGCTAGTAATCCATAGTGAGAAGTCATAGCTGCGACGGCTTGAGTACGTTCTGCAAATACATTAAGAAAGGAAGGCAAAACAGCTACTATTTATCCAGCTGGTCGACTGTAGACCTTTGGGAAAATACAAGAACAACCAGTGACAAGTGCATCGACGACGTTGTTTCCTGTGTGGGTTATCCTCTATTGAAGCTCAAACACAGGTATATGATAGGGAACGTTGTAGTCACTGTTTGGCGTGTCTTCCTCAGTGACCCGAAAGGATTAGCGGTCATCGAACATCAGCGGCTAACAGACATGGATTTTCGTGATCATGATCATGGCTGCCCAGATGTTTTGGCTAATAATAAATATTCCCTTGAATCACGAAGACCGGAAATAAACTTGTTCAGAATGTCACTTTTTGACAATATTTAGCACTGCTGTGATCTCTTTCAAGGTTATGCTTTGTTAATAGCAACCCAATTGCGCGAACCATTCAATATTATCTATAAATTAATTAATTTTGGCATAGATTCTAAATTTTATAAAATATTAACTGAAGAGACAAAGTGTTTGGCCATAAGAGTAGTAAATCATTATAACATGTCAAAAAAGCTTTTTTGTACTGCCTGCAACAGCCTTAAAAGAATTTGCAGCAATTGATTTTAAGATACTTTTCACGCACACTATTTGTGTTTGTGGACTATGTGATCGACTGCTTCGGCGGCCAAGAAAAAATGAGCATTCTTTTAAAGGACAACCAAGTGAAGTTGAACACCCCGCCATGCTGCTGTTGCTGTAATTGCTTACCGACAATGATCGCTACAAGGTAAGCTGCTCCTCTGTTCTAACAACGAACTCCATTTACCCACAACTTTCACAGTCATTTTAATGCATTTTCATAATCGCACATGCTTCCCTTTTTTTGCACTATGTGCCTGTGGAAGTGTCACGCCGCGAATGAGACCGACATGTCTGAGGCATGTCCGTACAATGAATAAAAATGAAGCACATTCAACAATCCTCGGTAGCTATTTGGATCTTAGCATGCAACATTCGTCAGGAGAAAGCCAAGAACGAAAACTTAGGATCTCTGTTATGTCGATGATATGGTACTTTTACCCTTTGGCTAAATTAATAGAGAAAAATCATCTCAGGATGTTGCTTCATACCGTAAAGGAATATTCGTTATTTTACTGGTTTTCGTTATGGTTGCTCCACGAACGCTAATAGAAGCTTTTGAGCGTATTTTGGTGAGTGGTTGTTCAGCAGTTCTTTTGGGGTACCAGCCATCGCGGGCAACTGTCAGAGTTTCTGCAACCTTCATCTAGCCGAACCGATTTACCGAAGTTCAACGCCCTGTACAAAATCAATGGCAAGTGACGAGCAACACCATTTCCTCAATCCACCAAATCGGTTCTTGGCCCACTGTGAAATGAATATACAGTGAAGAATAATTAAAAAGAGGAATGAATGAATTAACGTATGAATGCTGATTGTTTCCGGACAAGTTTTAACGCGACGCATAAAGTGATAAAGGCCACATCAGTTAAATCGATATCAGTTTACCTGGTTTGTGAGTGAAAACAAAGCCCAGTAACCAGCATCGCCAAATGAAAGTATCTTCGAGACAACGAAGCATGTTACCTCTGCAACGAAAACATACGAACATTTGTCTTTCACATGAAGTTATTTTTTAAAGTGTAATTTGCGAACTTTTCTTCATACTTCTCAAAGTAGCAGGTGTTCCTCCAAAAGTGTTTTCAAAGGAATTTAAACATTGGTATTCGATTAAACCCTACAAATATTAGTTTATTGAATCCTTTTCAGTTTTTGAAACCGAATTGAAGCGGCGAAAGCACCGTCTCCTTGCTTTTAGTGGCCTAGGGGACCATTTAAACAGGCCATAGCCCCATGGTATTTTAGCACCTGCAGTACATGGATGCAAAACCGCATCCGTACACATGACCAAACAAGGATTTGTTTGGACACATGCAAATATGACACACCGGTTAAGGAAACCAGTTAAGAAATTAAAGAACGAGTTATTCGCATCATGTCAGATTAGTGTAACGTCGTGAAACCAAAGCAACCGTTCGTTACAAAAAAATTTTTTCTTTCTGTCATATAGCCAGGTTAGATGCAAGGTGTAAACAGTTGGAAAAATGTGGTCAATTTTCGATCGAAAGCGGTGTTCGTTGTTAGCGGGCACAAAGACATAACATTTGGGGTATGATGATTTTAAGTTACGAGTTAACAATTTGTATGACCGACTTCAGGGCTAACAGTGCATATTTGGCTGAAATATGGGCATTTAAAAGAAAGATTTTCTTGTGCATAGTAAAAATATAATGAAGAGGAGGACACAAAAACATAATGGGTCTCAAAAACCGTATTGTTTATTATTGCCTTAATAAATAAACTGTAGGAGGAGCGTCCGCATTTTGGCCATGCTCACCTACCAGAACGCAATTGTCCGTCCGTTGACGTTTTACATCAACGCAGTGATCATGGTGGATCAGCTGGGACAGAGGAACGTGGTAGTAAGCGTCACTGATTCGCTGTTGTACTGATCGGTCGGTAGAGAGGTCGCGTTGTTTGCAGAGCCCGTTTGCACCGTTTTCCATGTTCATCAACGCCGTTTCCTCGATGCTGGCTCTGTACGGCGT